TGACATAATGACAAGCGTATTTGAAAATGATAAATTTCAATAAATAATTATTTATTGAAAGAAATTACAATACGATGATCCATAGGGCACTGATTTTCCTCCTCGCCTACCTGACTATTAATTTGCGTTTTCATTTTCTTGCTTGGAACTTCATGATTGGTATTTGCATATCTCTGGACGGTCATTGGATTTGGAATGCTTTTCAATGGTGTTCGAGTTAAAATGTTGCGAGTCCATAATGGTTTCACCTTTTCCAATTGGTCTTTAATTTTCTTCAGAACTGGTCTCTCTTCTTCTCCTGTTGCCAACATGTATTTAAGCAACGACACAAGATGCTCAATTTCATCTCCATACATGTGTTTGTAACTGGTTTGAAAATCATTCAAAAAGCCCAACATTTGAATCTTGTACTCCATACAAGATTGGAATGAATCATCACTATTCAAGGTGTGCCTGTGTTGAAAGTAATGTAGATAATTAACAATAACCACCGCCATTGAATAAATATCTGCTTCATCGGTGTCTAAACTTGGTGCTGAATATGGATACTTGAAAACAAGATCAACGTTTTGATTTGGAATAATTTTTCTATATACCACATTACTCTCGTTCGTCGTCGTAGTTTCTTGTTCTTTCAGCAACATTGAGGAGTTGAAATCAATGATGACAAGCTAAAAGCTTGCAAGTTTCTCCTCATCACTTGAAGCACTATCTCAATGATCCTGATCCAATCGAATCATTAAATTTCCAAAAGAGATGTCCGAATGGAGAATGTTAGATTGGTCTAATTGGAACAATATTTCGAAACATTGTCTCACAAGGTTCATGAAAAATTTGATTCTACACTTGTTCAACCAACGACGAACAGACGGCATATTCATAAAATCGTCCAAAGAGATTAGTCTCTCTTGAATAGTGATACTCACGAGGTCTGTGGAGTTAACGAGTTTTCTCAGTTCAGGAAAACACTTGTCGTTGTGTTGTTTCATCAAATTGAAAACAACACTGATCAACCTGGAGTTTGAATTAATCGCACGATATTCAAAAACTCGAACAATGTTTGAAAAAGTTGATCTGGTTTGAGAGAGCGTGACAAGGTGTTTCATAACGGATTCATTTTCCGTTCTGAATACAGTGCCCTTGACAAACACTGGTCCATAGAGTTGAGAAAATGCAGAACCATAAAAACTGGTGCATGATGTATCGCATCTCATAGAGCTTGGTAAGAACTGGAAATTTTTCAAGGCCAACAGTTCCTCTAAAACAATAGCGCACTCTATTTCATTCATTGGGTCAGGAATAAACTTGAAGGGTGGTTCAAAAGAGGTACCTCTCGATTGTTGATTGTGTCCATGATGGAAATTTCTACTTGATTCATCATGTTCATGTTCACTGCGACTTCTTGAATCATCACTTCGATGTTCATCAAGAATTTTCATCCATAGTTGTTCTTGATTTTTCTTAATAGAGAGAGAAAATAGATAAGATTTCAGATCAAATACCGTTTCAGCCCAATAAAATATTCCAACGAATGAGGTGATGTTGAATGATCTGACGAAAACATATGGATTCGAATTCTTGAATATATAAACAATATTGGAAGCTTTTGCTTGTTCTTCCCCAATTTGCTCTCCAATGACAAACATTTCAGAAAGAATTTTCTTTGAAACTCGTTTCCCTTCTTCAAGATTTTCAAATTCATTTGTGTGTATATTAGACGGCTTGTTTGTACCAAATCTCACATCCATTTCCTTTACAATTCTTTCTAATGATTGAGTTTTTGCTCTCATTGGTGTGCTTGAGGAAGAAAGACGTGCACTTTCTTCAAACCCTTCCTCATTAAATCCTAAATTGCAAACATTTTCGCACATACTTTCAATAAATGTTGTTAGTGCAATAATTCCCTCTGTGGAAGATAAATTAAAAATATCGGACTCTCTTATGGCGTAACCAAAAGATATTCCGTCTGAGCTATTGTGATCATCGTGTATCTTGATAGATCCCCAATAGCACCCACACAAGCACCAACAACAGCGGAAGGCATTCTCTTGGGTGGCATATCCAAAAATTCCCAATCCTTCAAGAAACATGCACTGAAACTTTGATACTAGTAAACCGTAAACTTTGATCTTTTGTGCATTTTTATAAGAATGTACTTTTTTTTGAAAAGGATGGACATACAGTCTTTAAGCATGCCTTTCATTTCAATATATATTTTAAAATGGTCTTTGTGTGTCCATGTTTCAGCTCTCTGTCCTCCACATTTAAAGAACACGAAAGGTTGGTCTTCAAAAATAT